CTGGAGACAGGTCCAGTATGTGGCAGAGCTATTTGGGAAGAGATGGCTACTGGAATACCTCCCTCTCCTCCAGAAAAGACAAAAGTGGTCAGGAACCAGAAGAAACTTCATCCCAAATGACATTGTCCTAATAGCAGACAACACCGCTCCTCGCAGCTCATGGCTCCTTGGAAGAGTTTTAAAGGCAAAACCTGATACCAAAGGCCATGTCTGGGTGGTGAAGCTACAAACAAAGACGAGTGTACTGGAGAGGCCAGTGTCCAAAGTCTGTCTGCTGCTCGAGGGTGATGAAGTTTGATGAAGTTGATAAAAAAAAAGTCTGAATGCCTAAAAGAGTTCCAGATAAGTGAAGTTATTCACTCTAAGTTACATTTTTTTTTTTTTTTTTAAAGTTTAAGACATTAAGGATTAAAAATAAGATGAACGGAAAATATAAATGGATCCTTTTTTATTTATTTAAGTAATTGTCTTTGCTTCTACAAACACAATTAGGAGCCGGTATGTAGGAGCAAAATTGAACCAAATGTTATTTCTTGTTGATGTGGATGTGAATGGGAGAGGGAGAGAGTATAGGTGCATGTGTGCCTGTGGGGGAATGAGTTGTAATGATTGTGTTTAATTCCACCGAGAGGAGGCCGGAAAGTAACTCCACCTGACTGAGGAAGTTGGAGGTGGAGCCCACTGGAGAAGGCTTAAGAACGAGCTGCCACAGCATCAGGTGTGGCTGAGGAAGGCAAACAGGTTTCTCACCATGTGGCTGCACAGCGGAACCAGGCCTTCTTAAATACTTTTGATTTAGCATGTTTTTATTTTAGTTTTGACTTGTAATTCAAGTAAGAAATGCAACAAATGGTCAGTGGGACCGACTGAATCCACTACGACTCATCATTCATCTGCAAGTGTCAAGACTAAAACCAACCCAACCATCAGTCGTGGTCAAGCAGCAAACAAAAAGGGGTTTGCTGAAATTGCCATTACACAGCCCATATGTAAGCGAATGTTAAACTTTAAATGTAACACAGTTACTCTGGATCTGTGCCTGAAGATTATGCTTGAAAACTGAAAGTAACACCACAACTGCAGCCTTAGAATTAATAAATAGCTTTAAATGATTCCACAGCTGTTTGAGATGTCAAAAAAATCTGCTTTTTCAAATGTATTAACCATAAAGCATAAAAGTCAAGCAAAGTTTGATGTACAGTGTATTTAAGTACAGGAGCTGAGGAAATGTGCAGCTTTCTTACTTTCCAAGCACTGCCGACTCTCAGGGTGAGACAGTTGCCACACCTAGTGGTGCAGCAGCAGTAACGCCTGCATTCTTAAAGCCATTCCTTTATACTGAAGTATTTTTTCAATTCAATTTTATTTGTATAGCGCATATTTACAACAGCAAGTCATCTCATAGCGCTTCACAAAGGCTGAGACAGAAACACCCAACAATCCAAAACATTTGGATTCCCTATAAGCTTCAGCAGTCCGCAAGCAGTCTGCAACAGTGGGAAGGAACCGAAAACCCCCGCAGGGGGGAAAAAAACCTCTGACAGAACCAGGCTCAGGGAGGGACGGCCATCTGCCTCGACCGGTTGGGTGGATGTAGAATGAATTATAAAATTTAGTTTACAGTTAAACAAGTTATTAGAATTTATTGTCCTTTTGTAACAGGAGGCATCAAGGTGAGGCCAGCGGCTGTAATTCAGGAGCTCCAGATCCAGAGACATCCACAGAGAGAGCAGGCGCAGGAGAACCTCGGGGGGGAGTCACAGAGTTAGTCATATGTAATGGTGATAGGCAACTATATAAACATATACATACATACACACACATATGTATATATATATATAAAGAGGAGAGAAGCCCA